AAAAAATTAAATTATAATGTTAAATGTTATAAGACAATGGTTTAGTAGTGCTGTTAATGTGTGTGCTGTGTAAGTGACTTGGCATGTCACGTCACCACCTGACTCCTGAACAAACTTTTCATCAACTTTTTCAAATCCTACAATGTGCTTGGCAAGCTCAACAATATTTCTTTGAATGTTTGACACACACACACACACACACACACACACACGGGAATTAAGACAACAAGCATCCAGTGAGGGTCTTGTTGAGTGACTGCATGGAGGCAAATTAAATGATCAGCTGTTGAGGAGCTTATCGCTTGGCAACACTGGTGCATGTTACCACTCCTTTCCACACCATCACTCTAATCATCCACACCTTTCTGCTTTCTCACTCCATATTTAAAAATATTATGTAATGTAATGTTGAAGGGATAGACCCTGCTGCCTTATGGCATCATGAAAATTGTGACCAAGTCCCAGGTTGCTGATCTGACTTTCTGCATCTTTTAAACACACCTGCAGGGTCTCAATTGTTTCTCTTACTATTGACAACACAACATACTAATATTGTTTCTCACTTTTGATCTTTTTTTCATTTTTGTATTTCTTTATGGTTATTTATTATTATTATTATTATTAATACATTTTTGCCCCCAAATCCCCGATGTGAGTCAGTGACCTGCGACCGGGTGGGCTAATCCCCGTATAAAAAAAAATAAATAAATAAATAAATAAAAAAGTATACCCGGTACTTATATTTATCCCAATCCCCCTAAAACTACTTCAGCTTTCATGTTTATTCAAGACATCTTCAGATCTGACATTCAATCAGAAGGTCAGTAATATGAGACCATTAATCCTCCACCCTACCTCCACCTAACATTGAGTCAGGTTAGGTCAGATTCCCCCCCCCCCTCCCCTGGAAAATTTGTTCCCAAAGCCAGAAATTTTTTAAAATTCCGGCTTTGGGAATGATTTTCCGAGCAAATTTCAATTCCGGTTATCGGAGATTCCGGCTAATGGAGATATTACTATAGGTAAACCTCTATTTGCGATGGGACAGGTTCCTGGACAGTCGGACACCGAAATGTATCACCGAAAAAAAAATTCCTAGAGTACTACAAAACAATTAAACAACACTCACCACATCATTAAGAAGAAGTCTAGTCGTCATCACATGTACCCTTCAAGGCTAAGGGGACTCATAACACTCTTGGGTTTGGGTAGGCGCTCTCCCGCAAGGCGTTCGGGGTCTGGCCTGTTACTCACCTCACTGCACGTGACTGCATCACACGAGAGATAATTGTACGTAATGAGTTATAGCAAGCTTGCTATTTGAGATAAAAAAGTGGGATTTGTTGCATTAGCATTGTATATAAATTATCTACAAACAGTTTTATATAAGTAATCACGATAAAATAATTATTTATACTGTATAAGCAAGCGCAAGTAGAAATTTTTTTTTTTTACACTTAATGAAATGTTTATACTGTACATCACTTTATACCTCCGTTGTTTCATGTTACTGCAATATGAACTTATTCCGCTATAAAGCATACATATTTAGGACAAATTAATTATTGAATAAAAGTTGGAAAAAATTATTACCCCCTGTATTTCGCTAGAGAGAGGCTATCTCCTTGCACCTTTAACGTTTTTCCACCCCTCCACCCTCGCCAGCAACTCAAGGCATGGTTCAAAACTCTCACAACAGTCTTATGAATAAATTAAATTGCTGTGATGCACGAAAAATCAGCACAAGCCGTAAGTACAAAAGGGAAACTGGAGTGCAGTCTACATAGTTGCCAGATTGTGCTGATGTTGCTAAATACACCCCCCTGTATGTGTCTTGCCTGTCTAGCATTCATACACGAATTTTTTTTTTTTACTTCACTTCACACATAAATTTGTGTATGAAAACAATGAAGTGATAATTTAGATTAAAAGCAATTTTGAGTATGAAAGCCTCAAGAGTGTTAAGGTGGAGTGGAGATATCATCCTGAGTCCCACACAGACTTTGGGGAGTCTTGAAGAGTGGAGACTGGAGGTGTAGCCTTTGTCCTGACCTTAAAGAGGGTGAGTAAAATGTTTGCTAGACATTTTCAAAGTTACATTATTCACTTCAGTCATAAAAACATGATAAAAATTGTGGGGACTCAATTCTTTTAAGCAAAAATGTAAGAAATGCTGCGATAAAGGTGTGGTAAGGGATTACTGGGTCTCATGTTCCTGACCTGACCTGTGGGGTGGGTGGTCTCATGCAATGTCAGGATACCCAGTGTCAGGGTAGGGGATTAGTAGGTCTCATGACCTGAAGATTATCTTGAATAAAGACAAAAGCCAAGTTGCAAATATATTTGTGGCTACCAAAAATGTTTATAAATTTTTATTCACAACATCTGTTCTATTTGTGTTAGAGAAATGAATTTGGTACCATTGCATATATAGGGATGCATTCCTGATGATGGTACTTCTTACCTATATGATATACTGTATGTAGTTTTGTTTATGAAAGGTACAATATAATTATGGGGACTCAATTCTTACTGAAGTAATCCCGAATAATTTATCTGAAAGTTGGGCGAAATAAATATATTTAAAAAGCAAAATATCTATACGATACAGGCGTGCAAGGTGCTTCGTGAATGGAGTAGTGTCACAGTGGAATTCTCCACTGTTTTCCCGAGTCTAAGAGATGCATCTCACACGAACAGACACAAGACCTGTATTTATTTACACAAAAACCATTGTACAATGTACATGTACAATATATTATAAATAAACAAAATAATGTACTGTATATTACTACAGTACTGTCCTCTTTTGTCTACAGGAGAAGTACTGTACTGTATATTGTCCAATCTCCTATTGTATCTGTAATACGTAACTGCTATCACTTTTTACGTCTTTTAACACTTGTGATGGATATGTGGTATGGGATTAGTGGGTCTCACCTATTGTATATAGACTCTTCTCTTATTTGTGGTAGAGGTAGGGTCAAGGAATTAGTGGTCTCATATTACTGACCTCCTGATGCAATATCAGGTCACCCATTGTCGGGGTGGGAGATCAGAGCAGAAGCACTTCACAGTCAGAGCAAAAGAACTTCACAGTAACTAAAACAGAGTACAATGTGAACTTTAATGATGTCCTCACGCTGTAAGATAAAAAAAAAAACACCGATGATAGCCGATAAACATTGATCTCCATTTCTAACACACATGTAAACAAGAATAAACAATGCCTGGACTATAGTTCACCAGATGGCCGTGAGGCAGCGTTCAGGTAGATGATGCTTCAGCTAACGAATGAAGTGATGCATTCTATATGCTGCCTTGGCTAGTTGGCAGGATGATGACTATCATGAATGTGAGTTTGTTTACATCACAAATATGGAAGTGGTCTTAATATATCAGCATCGTTGACGCAAATTATTGTAGATTGGGATATCGTAAATAGAGGTTTACCTGTACTGTAGTGCACTAGATGGCCGCATGACGGCATGTGGGTTGACCGCAGCTGTCAAGTGCATCAAGAGATGTGTTCCATATTCATCATTGGCCGAACGATGACTATCGTTCATGAAAATTGTTTACATCACCGTCGTTAAAGCAGAATATCTTAGATAGAGTGATCATAAATCGGAGGATACCTGAAATAGTGTTTGGTGTGTGCGGGTTGAAGGTTGGCCAGTCTCTGTTGATCAAAACAACTCATGCCATGCATCAGCAGGTGCAGGGATACCAATCATTCGGATTTGAAGCAGTATTATATTACTGTACTACCATTTCCCAATTGAGCTCTATTTAGTAATTAAAAGTTACCAAAACCATTTAATATAAACAAATTATTATGACTTATATTAATCATTATAAGGATTTTCTCTTAGATAATGATAGTTTAAATAATTGTACTCCGCAACTCATTTACCAACCTCCAATCACCATTGGACAGGTAAATTTTTTTACAAAATGAACTGTATACATTTGACTGAGTAATGGTTTATCACATAGCAGCATGTGACAGACCTGAGCTTGAGGACACCAACAATTTTTAATGTACTGTATTGGTCCTAACCAGTGGCGACTCGTCAAGCTGTATGATACATCTACTTATATACCAGATTTAAAAAAAATCATTAAATTTTTCTAAAAAGATTCAGTTAAAATGTTGTCTTCATTATATATTGACACCATTTTCATAATAATAATACACATAAACTTAGTTGACAATCATAGCAAGTTTGCAAATGTACTTTCTTTTTACACATTTAGCACACGTGCTACACTGAAATATGGGCTGCAACCTCTGTAGTTCAGTGATTTGTCTGATATGTGCGGTGGATGAGTATAATAGCAGCTCTCCGACTTTACAGTAGACATACCTTGATCAATACTAATGAAAGCTATCTACAGTCAACATTCTCATAAACTGCAAAGCTTATCAAAATAATAATAACAACACTGACAAGAACGGCTGAGATAGAAAGGAGCTTTTCTTCCTTGAAAAGAATCAAAACTTTCTTGTGAAATACCATGGTGAATGACAGATTATCTGCCTTAATAATAATACCCATTGAAAATAAAATGATCACAGAAATAAAGGACCTTAATGAAAAAGTAACTCTGATACATGAAAGAGTTGCTGCATGGAGTTTATTTTCAAGTAATGCCCAGCTGAGCCCCAGAGTATTCACGACATGAACTTCAACTCACAAACTGGACCCTAAGGTAAGTAAATAATATTCTTTTTTTTCTGTGTGGCAAATTTAAAAAAAAAAAAAATTGCAGTCCTCCTTATGCATTTCATCACGAGTCACCACCACTGCAGAGGTCCAGAATATACTGTATAGGAGTACCTGTACACTGAATTTCTTTTTGTCAAACTTAGCATAATAAAAAAATCTATTTTAATTCAATAATGCATCAGCCAGGTATACTGTAGCATCATACCTACGTCAACAATGAAAAAATCAAGGAAAACTCAAAGAAGATAGATAAGACATGAGACTCACCAAATACTCCACAAGTGGTGAAAATGCAAAGGTGCCGATGCCAGAACCACAAACAGCAATACCAGTGGCAAAAGAACGTCTCTTCTCAAAATACCCTGTGACACACACGATGGCAGGTAGGTAGATGAGACCAAACCCAAGACCTGCAAGACAAATCATATTGTAATTTCTTTGTTATATATTCATCTTAATAATGTGCAGTACGTATTGTATATTCTGTTCTCAGACCCATTCAACATTGTTGGATAGGTGGGCTTTGTTTAAACCTGACTTTCATTTTCTTTGGAAAATCCCCATTTATGCAGTGGATATTTTCACATGACCGGCTAAGTTCCTATTAACGCTATTTTACCATGAGTGCGCTCTGATTGGCTAATCGTCCATTATGGGCGAACAAAATGGCAAAATATCCACTGCATTCATTTTTTCTAAAGATGTTGTTTGGACGAGAGTAGGAAAATAGAAATGACAATACACAGGTTAGGAAGTTAGGTGAGGTGAGGTAAGGTAAGGTTCTAATAGGTTCAGGGCATAATCATTTTGATTTGATTAGCCAATCAGAGTGGACTCATGGTAAAATAGCATTAGTATGAACATAGGCAGTCATGGCAAAAATCCTCTGCCCCCATTTATGAGAAGATGTCAAAAGAGATATTTGAACTAACCAACCAAAGAAACTTACCTAATTAACTAACTTCCTAACCGGGGACCCCACCATATTAAGCAAAAGGTACTTATTTTGATAGTTAGTACCAATGAAAGCAACTTTATTGAAGCATCATGTTGTAATTTTATGTTTTAAGTGGACGTGAGAGTATGAACACTCAGACTGAGTGGCTCGGTTGTTAACAAACAGATGTCACGTGGAGACTTGGCAGATTTTTTGGAGTATTATTTACGATAAATAATTCAACTTTTGACATTATCTCCAAAATAATATGACTGTCCAAGAATGTTGAAAGGTAACATAACCTATCTCTAAAGTCCAAATAGCAAAATATTAACTCTTTCCATAGACACTGGCGGGGACGTTACAATGAATCTTGTTTCTCACTCTGGGCTCTTTGATATCTCAGGACTAAGTCAAAGATTGAAGTGCTCTATACCTCCCTATATTTGGTAGCTTATCGATGTTGCTGTAGAATTAGGTGGAGGATGCATCATGAATCCTAAATCATTGGAGCCAATTTGTGTAATCAATCCAGGAGCATGACTTTACTGAGCATTCAACTTGTGGTCACAATCTAACCCCTATCTACAGTCATAAGCTGTTGACAAGTGGAACACTTTAACTTTTACTTTTTTACTTTTATCCTCTTCGCCACTGATCAGCTTGCTGGCCTCTTGGGAAGTCGGTCACGTCCCTGTTATGCACTGTTTGGAAGCACTGGGCATGCACCGGCTCCTGAATATGTCGGAACCTGCTCCAGTGTTGATCAAGTCTGGCCTTGAATGAGCTCACATTCGGTGTCATCACAACACACTCTGGCAGATTGTACCAAGAGTTCACAATTCTCACTCCTAAAAAGATTTTCCTCAGTTTTCATGACTTGTGGCTTCTTCAACCTTCAGCTGTGACCTCTTGTGGGGCGGACAATCTGCCTCAGGAACTCTTTTTTTCAGCCCTTCTACACTCTGACTTTGCTTGGTTCCTGGACCTGGCATACCTAAGAGGCTTGCAACCATTGTTACCTGTCATTTTACTTTTATCCTCTTTGCCAATGATCGGCTGGTTAGCCGCTTGGGTGGTCGGTCACATCTCTATTATGCACTGTTGGCAAGGCGTGCACTGGCTCCTGAATGTATCTGAACCTACTCCAGTGTTGGTCAAGTCTGGTCTTGGTGCCGTCACAACACTCTGGCAGGCTTGTTCCAAGAGTTTACAATTCTCACTCCAGAAAAGTTTGTCCTCACAGTTTTCAGGACTTGTGGCTTTCTCAACCTTTAGATGTGACCCCTGTAGGGCGGGCGTCCGCCAACTCCAGGTGTGGACACTCGACTAAGTAGTGCCCCTTGAGATGTTTATATACCCCAATTAAGTCCCCCCTTACCCATCTGTAGTATAAGCAATGCAAATGCAGGTGTTCTAATCTCTCAGGGTAGCTGAAGTGCCGAGGTGCAGGCACTAGTATGGCGGCACTCCTTTGGGCATTTTCAATCAACTGACAGTCCTTAGAGTATCTCGGGGACCAGACGGGGTGACAGTACTCTAGGCGGGTAAGCACCTCACTCTTGAAGATCGTTACGAGGGACGGACCGTCTAGATATCTGAACGCCCTTCTAAGACCTAGTTGCTTGATTCACTTCCTCACAATGGCCCGAGAAATTCAGTTCATTGTCAACATACACACCCAGGTCCTTTACGCATTTGGTCTCCATTAATGCAGTTTCTTCGTCCTGTTGGGATAATATGATACGCCTCCTTACCATTGGTACGACCCAGGTGCATCCTCTTACACTTCGTGACACTGAATATTGGCAGCCACATTTCTTCGACCACTCTTGAAGCTCATTGAGATCTTTCTGCGGCTCTACACAGACTGTTTGGTTCTTAATTTCCATAAATAACTTGGGTTCATCTGCAAACATTTGTCTGGAGGAGTCTGTAGCTTCTGACATGCCATTTGATTAAGAAAGAGGCGTCGTCTATGATATCACAATCCTTTCAGCAAGCTGCTGTGTCTGCTTCTGCTCTGTAGCACACTAATCTAAGCCAGACCAGATTGGTCTGAGTATTCTTGTTCTAACACGAGGATACACTATTAGAATATATTTTTAGTACAGTTTAAGATTTTAATTGTGCTATTAACAAAATGGCTCGTGTCATATTTCACAACATGATAACGGGCCCTCAACTAAATGAAATGTCATCTATCTGGAGCTTCAGCTGCCTGGATTCTCAATTGAGTGGGACCAACCTAACTAAACCAATATTTTTTCCCACTGACTAGATTCTTACCAAAGCCTCAACAAACTCTTCCTCGAATGATGAGATCCTCAGTTCAATGGCTTGTCAATAATTACCAATGGCTCTTCAATTAATAGTACACTAAACTGACTGATTGCTCATTTGAGTCTATTCTCATCAGTCTAGAACTTCATTGGGCTTAATTTTCAGATGTGGCCCAGAATTAATTAATCCAATGACTGGTTGTTTGCTCAAATGTACCTCACCTGACTGGTTCCTCACTCAACTTGTTCCTCAATTGACTGCAGTTTTACTAGTCTGGGAAGTTAACTGATGAACCTTCGTGGAAGTAGGTCTTGATTCAACTGGAGCCTCCTCACATGACTGGACTTAACAGATTAATGCTTCACCTGAAAGAAATTCTTTGATTGGGCCCCTTACCTGCACCAAGACCGATGGTAACGTAGAGTGTTTCAACATTGGGGGCCAAGATAGAGAGGAAGAGTGCGAGGGAGGCGAGGAGGGAGCCGATGATGGTCACAACCCGGCACCCGAATTTGTTGACCAACATCCCTGCGATTGGTCCTGAAGAAGTTGATGATCATTAATAACACGTGAGACAGTGAATCTTTTATTATAATTTTTTTTGGGGGGGGAGTTTTATTCCACAAATTAGATATCATTAAGGTACAATAATCACTTAGGATTGAATAAAAAATATATATTTATGGGGCTCATAGCACATGCACTCCATTATTTATGACAGGATTAATACAGTACTCAGCAAAATATAAAATAAATGGATTCCTTGATACATGGAGGCATAAAAATTTATAATGGATGCACTTATAAATTTTGGAAAACATAGAAACACTAATAATTAACAAGGAAAAGTAATTGACAACCAAAACAATCCTGCTTTTGTATAATTTTGTTTTTCTTGTTTGTTTTGCGAGACTAAACACCGGTTCCTTAACCTTAACCCATTCAACATAGGGACACCACTTTTTATATTATATTTGGCTAGTGACAGACATAGTACACAAGGGGATAAATATACAGTACTGAATCAACTCTTGCGTCCTCGTTTTGATATCCCTAGAAATATCTTAATTATGAAAAGAATGAACTGAAATCTGAACTAAAGTTTTGGAGACCTGAACACAGTTCCCTTACTGCAGGAGCATATAAAGGGTCCGGCTGCTCCGGCAGAGAAACCTGACGGTTTTTAAACAAGGCTGTGCTCGAAATCGTTGAAGTGGGAGAAGTGACCTTGAGTGCATGTGCAGTTCAACTGAACTGAACTGAACTGAGCTGCGCTGAGTTGAAACAGAACATAAGGGATGAAGTGGCAACAGTACCTCTCGAAATGCCACATCGAGTAATAGGGGAAATTACACACCCGATTGTAACTATGTGTAAAATAAGAATGGACACCATCTCGCTGATGTAATTTTTAAGAAGTGAGTCTTGTCTAAAATGCTTTGAGATGTACTACAGTTTGGTTAATAAATTCAGGTAAAAAGTCATTCAAGTTTTTTTTTAAACCATCAAGTTTCTCTACTGGACCCTGTTTATACTTTCAAGTGATTTGGATAACATTTAATGATTAAATAACCTTCACTCAACAAATGAGTTCAGTATATGCACAGTACAGTATAATGTACTTGGTTGTACAGTGTGATATCTACTTACTCAAATTTGTATGGACAGTTGAACAAATTTCTCAGATGAACAGGGGCCTTAAGTAACACAAAATACTGAATATCTGACATAACCTTCATATTACTAATTCAGCGAAGTATCCCTCAAGTTGTTAAGTTTTAAAGTAAAACCCCTTTTATGGACATTTGAATAAACAAATGGAAAGGAATATACAAGTAACAATGTTTCTATGGAAAATGGGAAATGCATATAAGTAAAGAGCCTCAATTTATGAAATCAACAATTTGTACAAGATATAAATGGTGGCTTAAAAAATAAATGGACCTTCTGGAGACAGGGCAAGAGAGGATACATGAATGGATTAGTAAATATTATTAAAAAATGTAATCTGACAGACTGGTGTACAACTGTTCAGAAAAGTTGTAAGGATCCAACCTGGGAGAACGAGAAGTAGAGTTAGACATAGTGTCTCTTACAATGAAGAAATCCTTACATGATCCAGGACAGTTAATGGTTTTATATGGGAATAAGATTATTAATTTGCCTAAAATAAACAAATTGCATGTATATTGTGACGGTTCAGTTGTGTCAAGTGGCAGGACAGGGTGTGGGATCCTTATAAGACAGTACTGTACTGCACTGTATACAGAATAAGGTACGGATGACACCAAAATTGGACCCCGGCTAAGAAATTTTATATTATCAACATAAGCTGAGTTAAATGTAATGTTAGTAGGATTGGAAAATGTTGTAAAGAGCCATAAAGATGCATATATATTTGTTGATCGTAGGGCAGCTTTGGGATCTTTGAACAGCGGGAGTCCTATCTTTGAATACATTATTGGTTCAAGTAGAAAATTAGTAAATACAATAAGGAAAAAAGCCCATTGTGGTCGATTTGTATGGACCCCTTCACATGTGGGAATTGGTCTAAGTGAAGCAGTAAATATAATAACAAAAAGAGCCACGGAAAAGGCCGAGATCGACATAATATGTTGTAGTGGACGTCTCCCCTACAACTGCCTACAACTGCGTAGCCGCAGCCACCAGCTGCTACCATCTTCCCTAGCAACCAAACTAGCGGCCCAAGCGGGGGGCGTCACCAGATGCCGCAGTATCCTAGCAACAGAGCCAAAGACCGGTTACTTCTCGGGTTTTCCCTACATGACTCATAGATGACTCACGGCTGCTGGGTATATAAGCTCTGTCTCTCCATTGAGATTCATTCTGGCCTCACTTCTACAACATGCAACACCTCCTCCTCCGCCGCTGCCTGGCGGCCCTCGCCTCTCCTCCGCCTGCCTGGCGGTCCTCGCTCCCGCCAGCGAGCATGGCGACCCACCAGCTGTCCTTCTCTGAGCTTCCTTACCAACCAGCTCTTATTCTGCTCTCGGTTCCTGAACACGCAACACCTCCTCCCAGCAAGCTCCTCGCTGTCCAGCTTTCATTCAACCAGGAGGCCAGCAACAGGCAACATCTTCTCTAACGAAGCTCCTGCACATCTACCTCCTTCAACACGCTACTCACCGAACGTGTCTACTGAGCAGCTCCTCACCACACGGCACCTCCAGCACCAGACTGTCTATCATATAACTTATATTATACAAGAAAACCACCTTAGAGTTTCCATCCATCCTGAGTGCTAGACAACATTAATATCAACGAAACCCTACAATGTATTAAAACTTTGAAACAATTAAGGAGCAAATTACGGAAAATATAATCAATAGAAGATAATTTAAAAAGGAATGAAATATATGAGAAAAGTGAAACAATGAAGCATTACCATCATGTTCTCATGAACACAAATTTTACACATGGGAAAGATAGGAGCAGGTGGTAAGATTCAGTGTATATGACGTTAAAATTAAGATACAAATATTACTGGGAACTTGGAGCTGAGAGAAGTGAACAGGATAAAGAATGTAGAGTTTATAAAACATCCAGATCCCATACCCTGCCACATTATATACTGGAATGACCATTGCTTAATGTATATAGAAATGACCAGATAAATAATGTCTCCAAGTAAATAGAGTGGATGTTTAAAAATAAGAAAATAGATGAAATGTTAAAGAAATATAGAAATTTTGCATCTAGAATATAACTGTATGTACTATAAGTGACTATATGAGATATACCCGTATTAGGGATTTATATGAGTCCTGAGAGGGACATTCCTGGACTGGGGTGAGGATGACTTATGTCAGTTCATCCCTTTGAGATGTATTTTTCTTTATCTCAATAAATGCATCAATCAATCAAACAACTTCCAAATCCTTAAAATGGATATACTCTCAATCTTAAGGAGAAATAAATTAATATAATTCAGCAGTTGTGATAAGTAACCCTGGATATATACAGTATATCTGTGTGTGTGTGTGTGTGGTTTATTTCATTTTCATTTTTTTTACAGTATTAGCTCACTAGAGCACAGGTCCACATCAGGGCCTGGGGGCGAGAATATAATAATAATAATAATAATAATAATAATAATAATAATAATAATAATAATAATAATAATAATAATAATAATAATAATAATAATAATAATAATAATAATAATAATAATAGAGACTAAATTAAAAAAATATCAATAGTGAGAAACAATATACAGTATGTATGTTGTGTTGTCAAAGTAAGAGAAACAATTATGACCCTGCAATTATGTGTAAATGAGGCAGAATGTCAGATCATTAACCTGGGACTTGATCACAATTTTTGTGATGCCATATGGAAGCAGGGTCTACAATTACAAAACACATTATGCTTCCAATATCTTCCCAGGCGGTAGTACCTCCCTGTTAGATAGCTGCCTACAACCTACGACCTGGTATGTGTTGATGTTTGAAAATATTTACGTTTTTATTGATTTTCCATTGCATGTCTAGATACTTTTACTTTTATATTCGCCACTGATCGGTCACGTCTCTGTTACGCACTGTTGGCAAGTACTGGGCATGCACTGGCTTCTGAATGTATCTGAACCTGCTCCAGCGTTGGTCATGTCTGGTCTTGAAAGACACTCGGTGCCGTCACAACTCTCTGGCAGATTTTCCCACGAGTTCACAATTCTCACTCTGAAAAAGTTTGCCCTCACAATTTTGTGGACTAGTCGCTTCTTCAAGCTTAAGCTGTGACCCCTAACCTCATCTCACCTCTTTGCGCGGGAAGTCATAGACGAAAAGTGTCTTACTTTTTACTTTTATCCTCTTCGCCACTGATCGGCTTGTTTGCCGCTTGGGCGATCGGTCACGTCTCTTTTCATTTATATTCTTCACCAAAAGATCGGCTCGCTAGCCGCCCGGGCGATCGGTCACGTCTCTGTCACGCACTGTTGGCAAATACTGGGCATGCACCGACTCCTGAATGTACCTGAACCCGCTCCAGTGTTGGTCAAGTCTTCTCTTGAAAGAGCTCACACTCGGTGCCGTCACCACACTCTCTGGTAGATTGTTCCAAGAGTTTACAACCCTCACTCCGAAAAAGTTTGCCCTCACTGTTTTCTGGACTTGCGGCTTCTTCAATCTTGAGCTGTGACCCCTTGTGGGGCGAGCGTCCGCCAGCTCCAAATAAGGACACTCAACTGAGTAGTGCCCCCTGAGATGCTTATACGCCTCATCTAGGTCCCCCCTTGCCCGTTTGTAGTATAAGCTAGGCAAGTTCAGGCATGGAAGAGTTGACAGTTGAAATTTTTTTCGTAAGATGGCAGGTCAACAGGTACAGAAAATGCTTAAATTCACTATGATAATGATATGTTTTTAATAAATTGGGCCAAAAAGTGACAAACATAAGGGTTAAAGTTGCAAAAAAGTCACGTAACTGCGAAAAGCTCTGTGATTGGTTGTGACGTCACTAGTTGGGGGTAATATCGTAAGTGAAGAAATGTGCCATGAAGAGCAGCTTCAAACGTAGGTTGG